GCTTCTTCTATCCTTGGCTCGGTTTCTTCTTCAGGGGTAGCCATCGCAAGTCCCGTCCGGCTTCCACGTGGTTTCTGAAAGTGAGAAGCATTGCGTCCGTCGATGTATGCATAACGTATGGCACCATCAAATTCGATAGAATAACGAAGTAAAACTCCACTTTATTAGAAAAGACAACATTTCATTAATGAAATCAAGTGATTTACCACATGACTTACTATTGAGACAAACCTCTAGCTGGCGCTTGCTGTCGAGTATTGAACTGTTATATACTCTACAGCTAACAGCGAACATGGTGATGCGGTAAGCAGGCTATGATACAAGCGTTATGTAAACCAATGCTGACTGAGCTAGTAGATTAGCCCTTGACTCGCGTTGTGGAGTGGCCGGAAGCCCCCGCCTATGCCTGTTGAAGATGGCACCGTAAGAAATGGAGCCGGACTCGTAATTTATCATGGATCCACCTGCATCTGTCTCTGTGCATTTGTGCATTACGTGAACAACTGATCGACGGCTTGACCAATGAAAAAACTCACCGTCGATTTTGCTCACAGAAGCAAAAATTTTAGCCAATGAAGAAAATGCTCGAAAATATTGAAGAGAGTACCGTGGTCTATGAAAGGGGTCAAAATGCCCCACTTGAGTGCCCTATCCCTCCCAAATACCATCTGTGCAGAAAGGCTTCCTCCAGGCGAGTACCGTGTTTTATGAAAGGGGTCAAAATGCCCCCCTTCATTTATTAACGTGCTAACTTTGTATACCATAGTAGCCAAAGTCAATAAGCTCTGTTCGCGATAGGGTTATAAATACGTCAGAAATCTGGAATCACAGGTCATGCTGTCAAATCTTTTTCTGATTCTGGCGACTGTATCCATTGTTAAATACTGATTGTAACCGATACATATCGCGTTAGGTTTGTATTTGTATTGCTGTTCCGCAAACTGGCGCAAAGAGCGTTTTCTACCTAGCCAAACAAGCCCAAGTAAGCTTCTTCCTCGCAGCCCATGGAGGTCGCGTGGAGTCAGCTGCGGGAGGAGGCACGGCGCCTAGCGCAGGACATTGGTCAGTCCGGGCGCGAGCATCACTCGCTAGCCAACAGTCGCGCCGTATGGGACGCTATCCGGGTGCACGGTGTGCCACGGGAGCACCGCGAGTGGGTCTGGCCCATTCTACTGCATGACCAGAGCATGAAACTGCAGCGACAAGAGACAGAGAGCGGCGCTTCCTACAGCCAATTAATACGCGGTATAACAGAGGATATACAGGAGACAGACTCCAGCAGTTCGCTGGAGCAGGCACAGGAGGAGGCTATGGAGAGGTTCCATCACCTCAATCCCTTCCAGGAACGCAAGATTCGGCGCATTTTGCTGGCCTATGCCAAGTCCAAGGACGCCTTCTACTATTGCCACGGGATGGTCGAGTCTTGTGTCGTGCTCAGCACGTTTCTCGTAGAGGAGGACGCCTTCTGGGGCTTTCGCATGCTACTGGAGATGCTACTGCCCAAATACTTTGACGAGTCCGTCGTGGATTTCCATACGGACTGTCTAGTGCTGCAGGAACTTCTACGTGTGCATGACCCTGCTCTTAGTGATCACTTTGCTCTGCTGGGCGTGTCCATCCAACTGCTGTGCACCAAGTGGTTCTTCTCCTTCTTTGCCGAATCCATGCCGTTTGAAGTCGTGTGCCGCCTGTACGACATCATGTTTGTGGACATTTGCAGTCGGCAATTGGGCTCCAAGATCGTTTTCTCGACGTCATTGTCGGTGTTATTGTATCTGAGCTCGACGTTGGTGGAGATTCAGGATGTGAACGTGGTGCTCGACGTTATTAACGAATTTTGCTGGACGACGCTGAACGAATACTCGGTGGCGGAGTCGTTCCTGGACCTTATTAATTTTATGCATGAGCAAATTAATGACGAGCAACTCGCAGCAATGCGCCAAAAGTATAGAGCACAGTTAGCAGAGGAAGAAGAGCAGCGGAAGACCTTACAGCGGAGAATTCAGACAAAGAAAAGCAGCAAGAAACTCAAACTGGAGAAGCAGGGATCCTCAGAACAACAGGATCATCCGCGTAAGGGCAGAATTCACAGTATCAAGTTACTCATCCAGTGGAGAAAGCACATGGTCGATAACTCGGATGCTTCTTTGGGCCAAGCAAGGAAAAGGAATAGCAGCAGGGTAAGTAATAGCGACTCCAGCGAGAAGAACCGTTGTGGCCGCAACAGTAGAACACGCAGTCGAGAACAAGAGAGCTCTTCATCTAGTAGCGACGAGGAGAGTCGGAGCGACAATGGAGAAGCAGGACTTGAGATCGTTACGACGCCGTCGGAGAAGGAAATGTTGGCCAGAGTGTACCAAGGAATCAGCAAGATTAATCGTCGACGATCGCGGTCACGGACATCGTCATCGATGCGCAGCTTTTCATTGCGAGGAGCCGACGGAGCGCTTAATTCGCTTTCATCTCGCAGTTTGTCCTTATCGAACTCGATTCTCAGTACTACGTCGTCAACGAAAGAGGGCGACGATGTTAGTCAAGCTGGTGATGGTGATCCAGAAGACGAAGACGCATTATGGGAGCGTCTACGAGTGTCAGGCACCCCGAAATCTGTTGTTCGACATAGTATGAGTGGTGTCCCAGATGCCCATCGGTCGTGGATCTGGCCAATTTTAATTAACCAGCTCCCAGCGCCTCCAGATTTGCCTCGAAATCTCGCAGCGGTGAAAAATGACGATGAAGAAGCACTTTTAGACCGTGAAATCGCCAAGTCAATTGAGAATGACATCACGCGGACACGAAATCTGCGCAACGACCAAGTAATTCCGATGCGTCGGGTGCTCACAGCGTTTGCTAATCGCAATCGCCGCGTTGGATATTGCCAGGGCATGAATGAGATCTTGGTGGTTCTACTGCAGTACTTGGACGAGGACCAGGCGCTTCGAGCGCTCATTTTGCTGATTGAAGTGCTCCTTCCCGCCTACCACGTGGACTCGATGATTGGACTGCACACCGACTGCGCGGTCATGAACACGCTATTACGCCAAAATGACACTGAGTTGCATTCCCATCTCAACGAGCTGGGGCTGAACATGGAGATCCTGTGCACCAAGTGGCTTGTGACGTGCTTTCTCACGTCACTTCCGAGTTTTTGTGGCCTCAAAGTGATTGACATGCTACTGGCCCGCGCCAAAGAGAAACAGCGTGCATCTCGCGTACTTCTTGGGGTGGGAATCTCGATTTTCTTTACTCTGCGCGAAACCCTGTTGGATGCCAAGGACGCTGGAGAGGTGCTGTTGGCGATCAACGAGTATTTTGCGCGTGAGATGACCAAGACGACGGTCGAGATGGACAAATTCCTTCACTTCTGTCTGATTATCACGGATCAACTGGAACCTGACATTGTTGAGGAGTTCCGGTTGGTCCACAAGGACGAAGTGATGGAGCGGTTTGCTGCATTTGAAGCCAAGAAAATTGAGATGCGACAGCAACTGGAAGAAGCAAAAGCCAAACAGCGAAAAGTGGCCAGTGCACCGCCGTCGCCTTCAAAAACGGAGCGTTTATCTACGCTGTCAGCATCAAGCATCATGTCGGGCAAGTCAAACGGCAACAACCGGATATCCGGGTTGTCGTCATATATTAGCAACCCTCTGCGTAGCAGTGGAGGCAGCAAAACAACCACAGCAGGTGCAGGAGACGACAAGGAAAGCCATAAGCGGTACCAGCGTGTCGACGTCCTGCAAGCTCACCACAGCTTCAGCGAGGATTTAGAGAAGATGGAAGACCAGCTGGAAGATCTGGCGGATTTATTTCTCCGCGGGAAGATCGACGAAAAGGAACACTCGTGCATTCGAGCGCAGATTGTTCGGAAATGGTGCAAAGGCATGAATTCCCCGCAGTCCGCAATGGTTCGAGTGCAGTGTGTAAAACACACGTACGGCGAACGTAGCGGTGAAGGATTTTCGAACACTGCGCCAGGTTTACTAGAAGGTCCAGTGCGAAATAGCTTCACTGGGGAAGCAGAGGGAGCTCATCGCGGGAGAAAAGGATCGATCTCGCTTTATGGGCGCATGAAGAAGGCCCAGAAAAGTGCGCTCGCCATATTTAAATCAACCTTTGAATGAAAGGCGCCAATGCGTGCGTGGAGAACGAGACAGAAATGCGTGGTGATACTACATTCGCTGCCTATAGATAGGTGCTGTTGTGCTTACTTGCTGCTATTCTTACGAGGACTGTTTCTCGGCAGCATTGGTTAACCTCTTGGAAGGAAGCGGGGCGTGCAAGTCGACGTGCGTGTAAAAGTGCAGTTTGCAGTGTTGCTGTCGCGCTGGTGGCTCGGGTGGGCTGGTGAACACCCTATTTATCTACTGACGAAACTCAGTGAATGCAGTACGACGCTTTCTTGGAAGAATTGCTACTGCGTGAATCTCCTCGTAGCACTCCGTCCAGGATACAGATGGAATTGCCTCGAAAACGAGGTGGAAAGAGGAACAAGATCCCGGATTATCCACTTTACGCTCCATCCACGGTTGTGCGCCAGGCGCTCATCCCAAATGGCCCCGGGTCATATCCTAGTCAAGTAACTGCGCTTCACAATATTCCGGAAAGTCGACAACAGAAAGCCACTCGTCAACAGAGTGACAATTGGGCTTTCAGGCTCTCAAACGCACACAAATGGCGTGAAATGGGATGGAATACGTCCTCCCCAGCTGAGTATTCGCTTCAAGCAAACAGCAAAGATTTCAAGCAAACATTGGCATACACTGAAGACTATATGCAGAGGCAAGAGCTGTTGAATTCTACCGACGTAAGTACCGGAGTTGGAGCTTGCAAGTCTCCGACGAAGACCCTATCGAAAGGAGGATATTTTCCTCGATCCACCAGTTTCTCCAACACGACAACAACCGCCAGTACTCGCGGAATTGCTGAAGTTGGCTCAGCACAGACAGAAGAAGAACGGACGCTGTTGAAGAACACCATGTTACGAGAAGGTTTGCTGGTTAAGCTGCACGACTTGATCAAGGCAGCGACCCCGCCGCATTCACTGTTGCAACCACACGTGCCTCCTAAAGAACCGGTGTTCGATGTATCCAAGGGAACGGAGGTGCTTCATATCCTGCTGCAATTACGTGACGTTGGCGTGCTTGTGGTGGAAAGTATTCTACGCTGGCATGAGCTTCGTGTGCGGCTGGCTCCGATGGTTCCTCTTGTCCCGTTTCGGTTCGAGAATCACAATTATTGCGTCAAGATGTTGTCGGATTTGAACTTTTTGAGTACCATCAAGAGCCTGGGCACAGTGCTGGGCGTAAACCCATCAACAATGAAACAGAATCCCTTCATGATGCCTGCACCGATCCCCGAACGTAACTTCCAGGGGCTACGCGAGAAGTCTTGGCGAAGCTTACGGCTGTTTAGTAGCAAGGAAGACCCCGTTCAGCGGGTAGCAGATGCTGAGAGCTATTTAGTGTGGTGTCTGTCCAACCTCCAGGATTTACCCGCACCTTCTCCAGTTCGCAACGGTAATGGTGGCCACTCGCCGACACCATCGCTTCCACACCACAAGCAATCGTGGCAACAACGGGCCGAGAAGCAGCTTGAAGTGTTGTCCATGCCTTTGGAATCGTTATCAGGTCCAACATACGTCCAAGACTCGTCGAAAATGATGAAGAGGAAAGGAGTTCTGCCTTCGCTACCTCAGTCTCCGCCAAAAACACTGCGAGAACTTATGGGGAATACCCGCCAAAGTGAAGGCGAAGAGGAAGATTACGGTCGTGGTGATAACAACCGCAGCGTGATCCTCCGAACTCGTTGGAGTGGAGAAGATTTCTCAGCTAATCCCGCGGATTTTGAGGCACTTGGGGCACTCGAAGCACCGCCTCATCACATGGTGACGCTAGTTGCCGCAAGTGTCCTCATCCTTCTCAGCCCAGCCGACCAACTTCCCAAAGATTTGTCTTGGCCATCTTGCCAGAAGATGCTTCGACGTGGCAGGAGTTTAATTCAGCGAGTACAAGGCTTTGAAGTGGCCGGAGTACCGGCTTTTAAATGGAAGGCACTTGTGCCATTCCTACAGAACGATCACTTCCAGCCCAAGTTTCTCGCGCAATTCTCCTGTGCTGCCAGTAGCATGTGTGCTTGGGTATTCTCCGTGTTGCGTGCAGCTCAGCAGCAAGACTACGAGCGTCTGGGATTGCACACGAGTGATGGATTAGACGCTGTAGGAGACGAAGATAGGCTTGAGCTGCTCTCTGAACTGGAAGTTGACTCTGCCTCAAGCCCGTCATCCAAAAGCAGCTCTACCGTGTGGGAGTCTAGAGAGGAGAACGAATCACAGTTACCGCCTCTGTCTCGCTCAAAGAGTGGCAAGCGTGTGAGCATCGGAAGCGCCGAAGTCCTCTTCATTAACGAAAACAGGCCCGTGAAGATGACGACACCGCCCCCCAGTTCTCGTCCATTGTCACGACGGAGCGAGAGACCTGCAAGCAAGAGCAAATTTACTGTGTGCAGCTTGTACAGTAGTGGTCCAAGCAATGCCCTACTGCGCACCAGTCCGTGGACATACCGTGGCGTAGTCTACTTTGTGTCTTTTTTCCTTCAGGAGCGATCACAACAAGTAGCAGAGATGGAATCAACCGAAGAGACCGACGAACGTCGTCTGATGATCAAGATCTACGAGCCCATGAGCTCCGTTGAGTCGCAGATGTCGGTGGACACTGAGGATTTGCGCCAGGACTTTGGCGAGGACGCGTTGGTGGCGTTCCAGACTGGACAGTATCGCACTTTGTGCGACGTCATGCTTCGGCAGCTCGACAAGATGATGGGAGCTGATATCGGTACGCCTGCTCCACGGACTCCACCGCAGTTTAGCGAGGACATGGGAAACCAAGCGAGTGCGCTGGATTTGTTGCTACAGGACTCGGTGAGCGATCACGGCCAAGAGGATCGACCCGAGATCGTCGACGAACCGATAGCAGAGGGAGTACAGTCGTCGGAACCCGAAGTAGATGAAGAATTTGGTGCTTTAGAGGCCTCGGTGTTGAAGATCCAGTGTGCAGCTCGACAGCAGCTAGCTCGTGGGAAGACGAACCGCGTACGAGCTCAGAAGGAGCAGGTGGAGGAGTCAGCGTTGCGGATTCAATGCGCTGCGCGGCAGAAACAAGCTCGCCGAAAGGTTGATCGCGTGAGAGCCGAGAAGAAGATGGTTGAGACCGTGCCCGAGGGTGACGAGCTGCAAGTTGACAGCGAGGAGCCTGCACATGCAGCCGAAGTAGAAGAACAGTCGGAGGATGTTGCAGTGCCGGAGTCGCGACCTGGTACTGTCATGAGTTACGCCTCTGATCAGTTTGAAGAAGAATTTGAGACGTAAAGCGACTAAACAAGTGATAGCAACTAGGCATTCTCATTCATCGCTTTGTACGTCGTCGGCAGCAGCCAGTGGTTGCTTCGTTCCGCGCTGCATCATTATTTGGGACGTATCAAAATGTCGGTTAGCACTTGATTACGTCTGATGCAATTTTCGCTTTCTATTGGCTAGCGCTGCAGTTTTTTACATGATCGGTGGCACTTCTACCATCACTCTGCTTCAGTTTTGTGGTGTTAGTGTGTGCATCCAAGCAATTCACGCCATACACCCGTACATGCACCATCCTTCGAGCAAGCTTATCACTTGCAAACCTGACTCCGCAGCAGCACTGCAAGGCTCCACGACTTGTAATCTCACAACATGATCCCGCGCACACACGTATTGGGAGTGATCGGTGGCTCCAGTCTCTTTCACGCCAAGAGTTTCTCTTCGAATCTCGTCGAACAGGTCGTGGAGACGGAGTTCGGCGCTGTTGTATGCCACATCGGCACGTGGCCATCACGCTCGCAGGATGATACTACACCGGCACTCCAGCTCGTGTTTGTGCAGCGCCACCACGCGGACCCAGACGGCAAGTATCGGCAGCCTCGTAAGATCAACTTCCGCGCCATCGCGTTGGCGCTCAAGTCTCTGGGCTGCGAAGCTGTAGTGGGTATCTATTCGGTCGGATCCATGACGCCCAAGGTCGGCGTGGGCCGCTTCGTGGTGCCTGAGGCCTTTTCAGCCCATTTGACATCATGCATGTGTCCCACGACTACGACGCACACGTGGTTCCTGAGCTCCACGAGAAGCTCAAGACCGCGCTGGTGCAGGCTCTCGCAGGTGGCGATTTTGATCCGTACGACGGGGGCGTCTACGTGCAAACGGCAGGCCCGCGCTTCGAGACCAAGTCAGAGGTGCGCTTCTTCGCACAATTCGGCGAGTTCATCGGCATGACGGGCGCCAACGAGGCCGAGCTGCTCAATGAAATGCGTGTGCCCTTCGCCATGTTCTCGATCGTGGACAACCTGGCTAACGGCATTGGTGATCCGCTCACGCTCGAGGCTTTCAAGGCAACACAAAAGGCCAATGCTGACCTCATGGAGCGCGCATTTGTGCACGTATTGGACGAACTGGCGTCCACGAAGGCGCTGGCCTTGCTCACCACCACGCCTTGACCAAACAGAAATATTGCTTGGTATTAGGAAAAAAAAATAGTCGGCAGCTTCATCGGTTGCAATTGCTAACCTACTGAAGCCCCCGAAAGCATAAAAATTCATATATACTTGGATCGGCCTAGTTCTGACAAACCAGATCGACATGTATAGATGGATGGAATTCGCCGTGCAAATTGCACTAAGATTATTTGACGATTGTGATTGGCTGAAAAATATTTATGTGATCTTGAAAGGTCACTGAGCTAAGGGCAACGATGGACGAGCTTGATGCACGCGTTGAAGAAGTCCTGGAGAATACGACAGCGGAGAAGACCAAGTACACGTATTTCCGTGCAATAGCTCGCTTTGTGGAGTGGCTGCATACTAACACAGACGACGATCGACGGCAGACACTTTTCACTAGCTCATTCCGAGAGTTTCAGACTATTAACGCAGGCACAATTACTTCGTGGCTGTCAAGACCACCTTTGCGAAGTCCCGTGTGTTTGGACTCTTTATCTACGCAAGATTGTATGCGTTATCTTAAATCTATGGAGCAGCGTGGAGTAACAGGAAAGTCTACATTTGGCAACGTGCGCTCAGCAATTGTGTACTTGTACACAGCAACCGAACATTCACGGCCCCATGACTTTGACTCTCAAATGCGGCGTTTTTTTAAAGGTCTTCATCATACAGTGGTTCAAGTTGCCCAGAACAGTAACGAAAGTCTTCGAGAAGGAAAAGAGCCATTCAGCTTTTCAATGTATAGGGCTGTGGCAAGGTCGATGCTCCAGTCTACCAAAAAACAGGATATATTCGGTCATATATTTCTTCTTACCTGTTGGAATCTCATGTGCCGCGCTAAGAACTCTGAGTCCATTCGGTACGGGCATATTTCTTGGTATGAAGATTCCCTTACGATTACATTCGCCCATATGAAGAACGATCAAGACGGAAGCCGTCCACG